CCCTCCAGGCTCAGTGATGGAATACTCTTTTACCGTCCCCAGGAAAAGAGTTTCCTTGAGCAGTTCTAATGTAAAGAAGAGTCCCATAATCCAGGAAAATAATGGAGTCTTGTAACAATATCTGCAGCCTTCATAAGCTCTGCATCAAGTCCAGCCTAGATCTGTAATGACCAGAAAAAAAAACTACTATCTGATGGCTTTTTGGCCTTATCCTCACCCAGCTGAGGGTGGGTTGGATCCCAGCTGGCTTTGTCTGGTGGGAGAGTCTGATGGTGTGGTTGCAATTCACAGGAATGCCACAGCATTTGAATACCTGGAAGAGTACCCCACTGGAGTCCTAGCTGAGCTGGAAATGCAGACTGGGAGAAAGGCTCCCAATGGGCTTTTTGTCATCATCATGGAGTATGGGAGGAATTTCTCTGGGGCTGACAAGGATGTCTTCTACTACAACCGTGCCGTGGGAGAAGCACAGCATGCCTGGCAGTCCAACTTTCTACACCCTGTTATTTACTATTACAAACGCCTCCCAACAGGTGAGTTTTCCTGCTAGCTATGTGATACAAGCGAAACAGAGAGGGATGAAGATAGTTCAGAGCCAGAGGAGGGGCGGTACCTGAAGGCATTGTTCCCCCTTCTCCATTTCCCTCATGTCTATCCTTTGAGACACCCGCCCACCACTGCATGAGCTGGCAGTTGGCAAGAAATTTCCATCGGTCAGTACAGGGGATAGGAGGTTGGTACCAGAGACCTCACATTTGAAAATAGGAGCAAACAGATGTGCTGGAAATTTCCCCATTCCCAAAAAGAGGAACACTGCTTCCCTTTGGCTGGCACCCTGTGTGTGTTTTGCAGAGCCTGGCAGATGAGGCTGGGCTGTTGTTGTTTGGCAGTGTTGCTGCCAAAAGAAAGCTTCTCTATGTGGCCGACCCAGGCCTGAGAGGTCACACAGCCATAGAGGCAGCCAAAGGCAAGGGTTTGAAGAGGAGTGTTATATCCAGCAAGCAAACACGCTTAGAATAGATTTCCTTGGGAAGTGAGTGTGTTGAGTCTTCATCCCCAGAAACCTAGGGTCATGGTCCAGCCTGCCTTGCACGGAAATAAGCATGATGTGTAGCAGCATTAAACACAGCTTAGGCCGTCTGGCAGTCCCTGCCCAGGGGGAACAGGAGTGAAATGAGAGGAATGCTGTGAGCGGGGACAGAGGGCAGCTGTGCAGTGGCAGGGCTGTTGAGGACAGAGCTAGCAGAGGGGATTGCAAATGAAAGTAAGGTAGGGATTAAAAGGTCAGGACAAAAGCTGAAACAGCTGTCACAGCTGCTTTCCATTCCTCAAGCTCTTTTTAATGCCATTTTGCTTCTAAGAGACTCCCTTAATGTTCTCTTGGCAGAGCGTGAGATGAAACTCCGGCCGCCAGAGTGGCCTCTCCCTCGTCCAGATGCCATCCATCACATTGTGGAGGACTTTCTGACAGACTGGACAGCCCCAAATGCTCACATCCTGCCACTGAGGCGCTTTTTGGAGAACTGCCTCAGCACCGACCTGCGCAGTTTCTTTGCAGGTAATTTGAGCACAGAGTCCAGGCGGCAGGAGGAGGAGGAGGAATGTGAGGTACAAAAGACAGGAAGGATCTCTTCTGCAGATAGCTGAGATCTTCCTGTGGTGAGTTGCTTGTCTCACCATCAGTCACACCTCAGCACAATCCCCAGACAGTAAAAAGTGCCGTTCTGTATGTGTATGTTCCCAAAGAGCCTTTGCTCTTGCTCACCATTAGAAAGAGACTGGCCCAGGCATGCCAGGATTTAGGGAAAGGTATATGAGGTTGGGTTCAATCCCTTTTCTAGCTGCAGCTTCCCTTCTCCATTATCTGAACATTTCTTTGTACTATTGGGTACTAGATCTTATGTACTGATGATGGGATTGCTTTCCCATGGGAAATGGGAGTGCTGTGGTGTGAAAGCTGAAGACAGCCTCTGCTGCTTCCCTTCCTGGTCTGAAGACTGGTCTGGGAACCTCCTGCAGGAAGCCCACGTGGCAACAGAGAGAAGCAATCCTGTGGTACAAAGAGGATGCCAGATGGACACAACCTCAAATCCAGATCCTTTTTCTCTCAGACTGCAGGCTGGAGATCCCTCTCTGCATCTCCTGAGCTCTGCCGAATTAACTCAATTACTGTGCTGCCACCCAGGGCAGGGTCCTGGGTGGGAAACTCCAGTCGTCTTCCCTCGTCCTCTCTGCCTTTTGTTTTGAATGAGTCCTTGATAGTTTATGGGAATTTTTCCCTACAGGGTATCTCTGCTGAATCTGATTTTTGATCCTTTCCCCTGCAGAGTCCTGTTTCCTGTTTGCCTTCACCCATCAGAAGCTGCCCCCCTTCTGCCAGCAGGGATACGTGAGGATGCAGGGGCTCATGGGCAGCGAGGGGCTCCGGCGCCACGCTGTGCAAGCTGGACTACTGCAGGATTACACTCTCACAGACTTTTCGGGTGACAGACCCCCTGACAGCCACGACAGGTCAAGGGACCAGTTGCTGAGAGATCAAGTCATTCCAATTCGTCCACTGCAACATCTTGTAAAGGCCAAGGATGAGCTTTAACCTTTCTTGCTCTACACTGAAACCTAGAGCTGTTGTGACAGTACTGTAACAGAGATCCACAGCAGGATTCTGCCCTTTTCCTGTGCCCTTTTTCCATCCTCATGCCTTCCCCCAATCATGAGTTGCCAAAGACCTGCTCAGATCTTGCTGTTACGAAGAGGACCAACATCTTTTGAAGAATGAGCAACGGGCCAAAATCCAGTGATGCTGAGGCTCCCGCGTTGTCCTTGCAGAGCTCAGAGTTGCCTGAAAGTGGTGTTTGTGTTTATCTGACTGACCAGTATCTGCAGTGACGTACAGAGGTCACAGAAGAGAGTTCAGGAACACCTGGGAAACTTAAAATGTCACGTTCCCCTTTGGAGGTGACCTGCTTGCACCCTGTGGAGCCTGGTGCAGGCTCTCTGGTCCCTGGATGCTATACCCTGTGTATACTTGAAGATTTGTTCCTGCATCGGGTCCCGAAGTGGTACTCTGGGCAAACTTCCAGTATTTTTCTTGCATTTGAGTTAGGGCGGTTGTGTAGCTTCAGTGGGAGGGGTGTTTTTTAGTTACCATATAGGTCAGATAATTTGTCATTTCCCAGAGAGCACTACAAGGGACCCTTCCCTCCACAGTGGATGAGTAGCTTGCCTGGAATGCCTGGGACACAGAGACAGACACTGACTTCAGCTACGCTGTCCTCATGTTTTTCTTCTCCCACACCAGGCAGCCTGGAAGGTTAGCCCTTTGTCTTTTATAAAGCATGACCAATATTTCTGCTGTTTGCACTATGTCCCATCAAGAAAGTTTGACGTTGTTAAAATGCTCCTTCTCTAATTTATTCCCATTGAGTCACCTTGAGATCCTACAGGGAGTGTCTGGGAGGCTGGCTGCACTTTACTGCTCCCCCTGTCAGCCACATGCACTTGCCTGTCTCCTCCCCGTGGGCTTCTTCCATGACCCTGAAGTTGCAAAGCAAGAGCAGTTTTCAGCTTGACCTTATGATATCCCTGTGATTTCTAGGAAATAGAGGAGGGGCGAGAGGGAACAGGTATTTACCTCCACACACGTTTTCCAACGCCTTAGCTTCTCAAAAAATATACACTTGTGCTTCCAGACTGGAGGGGGCTGTACCTTACATGTACCTAAAGCTCTCCCAATCCTTTGAATTCAGTTACTGTTTCTGTAAAACCCCAGTTTCTTGGAGAGGCTGGGGAGCAGAAGAGGTGAAGGACATGACAAAGGATTTCTTGCACTCTTTGGGAGTACTGAGCTGTGCTAGCAATGCTGCTGCTTCTGGAAGATCTCACCTGTTCATGTGCAACTGGAGAGGGGAAACAATCACCTCAGTTGGCATCAATCAGCATCCTTCTGTGGGTTTTACATCCCATTGCCGCAGCTCCAAGGCCAGACCAGGAATGGCTCTCGTGGCCTGTAGTTGCCTGGATGATGTTACTACTTGCAACATCCTTGGCACCATGGGCTTTTTATTTTGGAATTGTCCAGGGGAAGAAAAAGGCCTGTGGCTGAATTGGGTTGACCAGCTGTCCCCAAGAGCCTGTTTCATTTGTTCTCTTTGTGTGCTGACACAGAGTGCATCCCTGTTGTACCTACACACATGCACATTCTCCAGTTGTTTCCTCTTTCATCCTCAAATTCCCTCAGGAAAACGTGAATCTGTACATTCACAGTGTACATGTTGCCTTACATTGTGATTTCCTTTAGAAAAGTGATGGTCTAAAAAAACAGCACCTACCAACTCTTCCAGCATGCTCTGCATGTCTCCAGGGTTTGATCTGGTGACTCAAACCCCAGAGGTTTTGCTGCCACTCACTTCCAATTGGACTTGGGGAACCGGGATCCAAGTCTCCTTGCTTTGGGTGCTGCCGAATGAGTCTTGCCCTCTCAGCCTTGTTCCGGTTGGGCTCCCCCCAGTGCTGGAGGTGGCAGGGAGTGAAGCCTCGGCTCTGAATTGTTTTCCATCAGGGACCGTGGTTACAAACGCTGCTTTGTGTCACCCGCGGGGGCAGGGTGCGTTCTGGAAGGGAGTTGATGGCTGTTTGGGGGGTTGCAGGGCTGTGCACTTCAAGGAAAGCCCTTTGCCCAGTTTCGACCTGGAGAGCCGCCGGCCGGGGCCACCACGGAGGACCGTGACCGGGAATGGGGGCACGTGCGGAGGGCGGCGCCCATTGGAGGGCTCCGCCGCCAATCAGCGCTCGGAATTTGCCCCGCGTGAAGCAGCCCGCCGGCGCCCACGGGGGCGGAGCGAAGCGGCTTGAAGGACGGGCACGGCGGCCAGTCAGAGATGACCGGCCCTTGGGGCGACGGCCAATCGGCTGAGGGGGCGGTGGTGCCGTCTTTCGCAGCCATCCGGTGGCTGCGGCCAATAAGCGCGCAGGTGGGCGGGGCGGCGGGCGGAAGTGCGGCTGGGCGCGGGTCACCTCCGGGCCGGGAAGGTGCGAGGAGAGGGGGGGTGGGGACTGGGGGGACTCTCCGGGCTGAGGCGGCCTGTCCTCAGGGGCCAGAGGGGGACTGTCCTCCCTCACCGGGCTGGGGGGCTCGGGGCCCTGTCACTGCGGGAGCTGCCGGGACGCACCGGCTGGAGGAGCCTCGCGGTACCGGGGCTGCCCTGGGGGTGGGAAGGCACGTACTGTGGCGGGGGGACTCGGGGAAACGGCGCCCTGCGCCTGGAGCTGGGATCCCGGTGGAGGCCCCGTGGCCGTGGGGCCGGAGCTGCAGGGGATGTCGGGCTGAGCACAGGGGCAGGGAGCGCTCCCGTGTGATATCCCATCAGTGTCTCTCCCGGACACCTCCTGCCCTGGGGCACTCGGCTCGGGGCGCTGCCGCAGTGGGACCAGCCGTGGAGGGCCCCCCACCCCACGAACCTCCCGCTGTCCCCACAGATGGCCCAGAGGCTGGCGCTGCGGCGGCTGCTGTCCCTCACCCCGCGGGGTCCCCCGGCATCCCCCGGCAGGGCCTTTGGCACCTCGGCGGGCCGCAGGAGCACCTTCAATGTGCAGGATGGCAGCGACTTCCAAGACCGAGTGGTGAACAGCCCCAAACCCGTGGTGGTGGATTTCCATGCACAGTAAGTTCCCCCCTCTCCACCGTCACATGTGCAGGTGTGCCCTGACTTTCCTGGCACGGTGGCACTCCGGGCACACCAGGGAGGAGCAGGCCCGAGGGCTTCCCAGGCTGTGGGGTCTGGTGTTACAGGGTGATTTTGCCCATGGAGCTCAATCCGTAAAGATTTCACTCACAGCTGTGCCCTGCGGTGTCAAACAGCAGTGCCAGGAAGGCTTTCCCCAGGGTGGCGTTGTTGCACCTCCCAAGCGCTCAGGTGTCACCCCGCCCCCGGCGTTGCATCATCTTGCAAAAGATACCTCAGGAAAAAATTGTGATCTCTCCCCTATTTAGCTTTCGGGATGAAATGTCCTCTTAGAAACATTAAATGTTGTTAACAGCCATGGAGGAGCTCTGCACTTGCTCTGCCCCAGCACTGCCACGTTGTGTCTTTCCAGGTTTCCTAAGGCTGCTTGCTCTTGAGGCTCTTGACAGCAAATGTCTTTGTGTTAATAACAGCCCTGTGACACCAACAGCAGCATTTGTCATCAACAAAAATGTTGTCATCCTCTTGCCAGTAAAAATATTCCTAGATGTTATCTGCTGGATTAACGACACTGATTATTTTTTTCATGTGTTTTTGTAGTCCTGCAGTGCTGTCACATGAGCCTGTTATGGCTGATTGAGGGCAAACAGAGTACGAAACAGCCCAAAAACTTCTGCTCTAAACAGACCGAGCTGGCAAAGCAAAGTGAAGTTTAGCTGGGATCATCCAGGGAGGAGAGGACAAATAACTGAAAGCGTGAAACTTGATAGAGAGGGAGGCTGAGGAGGAGCAAAGTTCACCAGAGCTTCAATTCTATAAGAAAAGGGCACTTAGAGCTTTAACTCATGTTTTGCTTGAACTGAGTAAGTTCATAGTATCCTAGCTGATGCAGTTAGAGCATGCAGGGAGTGTCCAGGGCCTCACAAAGCCTGCTACTGCTGCACCTGGGTCTGGATTAGATGGTCTCCCTTTGAACAGATGCAATGCCTCTGCAAGTTTTGCAGCTAAAGGGGGTCTCTGTAAACCCTACAATGAGCATGGAGGGGAAATCTGTGATTTGGTGATTGGCATAAACTGATTTGGGTGTGGTCTGCGAGCCTAGTGCCCAGCAGCAACACTGGCTCCAGGGCAGCAGGATCACAGCTCTGCATGTGGATGTAAAGCCCAGTGGGGGTGAACAAGAAGAGGACAGGAGAACCAACAAGGCTGGCAAAGCAGACTGCAGTGTGATCGAAATGACATCTAAAGCACCACAAATGCTGGATGGTGACCTCTTCTTCCACTCAGCCTCTCCACCACACACACAGAAAAAACCCTTTGTTGAGGAATACATTCAGTGCAGGTGTCTCTCAGGGTGCAGTTGCAGGGGAGCTGTAGGTTGACCTCTGGAAGCCCCAGGCAAGAGGCCGTGAACTGGTGACCCTTTGCACAACAAAGGGCCTGGGGACATGTGGCCCAGCCAGGTGACCTGACACTCAGAGACACAGCAGGAGCTGCCTGTCCTGGGCTTAGACTGTGAGGGGATAAAAGCCCAAGGGTTCCATTGTTCAGGGTTCTTCCTCAAAGGCACCAGCTTCATCTGTTTGTTTTAAGGATGGGGACATCTGAGACACTGCTATGGGAAACCTGGGGTTGAGCCAGCAAGGAAACCTGGTCTGAGCGTGAGTGTGGGGTGTGTAGCTGTGAAGGGGCCTCGGTCCCAGCTCAGGTGGTTCGAGTGTGACTGCCAGAGTGGCTTCTGGATGGTTGAACATGAAGCTTCCTTAATGCCTTTGGCAGCTCCTTTGTGAGAGGAGTGTTTTTCAAAGCTGTGGTTCAGGAATGGTGTTTCCAGGCTGGCTCCCGAATGGAGCAGCACCGGCATACCAGCACATCCTCCATGGCTGTTGCTGTGCTTGCCTGCTTGCCTCCTCTAATGTCCCCTCTCTTTTCTTGCTCCATCAGGTGGTGTGGTCCCTGCAAGATCCTAGGCCCCAGATTAGAGAAGATGGTGGCCAAGCAGGAGGGGAAGGTGGTGATGGCCAAGGTGGACATTGATGATCACACAGACCTTGCTATCGAGTACGAGGTAGGAGGTGGAAGAGCACAGACTTTCTTTGGCTGGCAGCACCAAGAATGTCCCTCCCTGTGGAAAGCTGTGCCTGCGTGGCAGCAGCATTAGAGGGGAGGGGAAGCCTCCCATCTCTTGTTAGTAGGTGGATTTTGCTGCTTGACTCTTCTCCAGCTCTGCTGGTCATGCTCAGCATCCCCACCTCTGATTCTGCACAAAGGTGTCTTCTAGGCCTTGCAGGCATCTGTCACTTGCCTGGCCTTGAGGAGCCTGAAGCGTATGCAGCGTTTTGCTGTGAGCCTGGGCTGCTCAAGTGCAGGGCAAGAATGTAAAGTAACAATCCCCAATCTGCTCTGCTACTGAAAGTGGTTCTTTGTGCCACTGGCCCATCCTCTCTTTCTCTTCCTTGTTCAGGATCTCTAGCTGGGTCATAACATCCCATCCTTGAGTTGTAGCACAAGGAGACACCGTGAGTTTTGTTTGGACAGGTAGAAGCCAGGTCAGGAAACACACATAAACAACAGGAGCATGCATCCTGCTCTTGACAGGAGGGACCTTGGTGCTTACACTAGTGTGTTAACACCACTGCTGGATGTGTTCCCTGTGCTGCCTTTCTCCATGGAAGGAGCAGAACAACTGGAGAAGGCTTTAGGTTTACACGATTTAGTTATTTTTTCCCTGTGTCAGTGATTAGGTAGTTTAAAAAATACAAAAGCTTCTCTGACGACTGTGCTCACTTCTGTTTTCTCTCCTTGTAAACAACAACTCTGTCTGTGGAGTTTGGGCATCCTGCTGTTGTCTTTTATGGGGAAGAAAGTGCTTAATTAAGTGTCACGCAGATGGATCTGCTCCCCCTCTGCAGATGAAGTCCTGCTCCCAGGGTGGATGCTAGCTCAGGAAGCTCCTCAAGCTGCCCTGCAAAGTGTGAACCATCTCTGGAGCAAGCTGTCATTTTGTTGAGCCTGGAGAAGACACTGTATGCCATTCCCACACCCTGCCAAGCCAGAAGGAGACGGAAGTGGAAACAGCTTGTTCCCTCCCACTCTTTCCTGAGGGAGATGTTTTTGCCTGTGCTGTGGTGGTGTGTCCATACAGCTGGTGCCTACAGTCATGACTTGCAGCTCCCATAGGCTGAGCACAAGAGCCTCTGGTGTTCTCATTGATGGACACATGCTGGTAGATACGCCCCAGGCCAAGGAAGGTGGCTGCTGGCTCCTGAGCAGGGCTGGCTACTGCAAGCCCGTAGGCTGTGTAGCAGAAGGGTCCTGGTGAGGAGTTGAAGAGGGCGAGGTGTTTTTAGTGGTGGTCAAAAAGTGTGTAAATCCTAACAGATGCAGGCAAGGCTCTGGTAGTGGCCATGCTAAGAAGAGAATAGAGATTATTATCTCAAGTCTTGTATTGTTCCAAGCCTTCCAGTAGATCGAATTAGCTGGGATTACAAGAGGATAATCTCAGGTGAGAGGAAAATGGCAAGCAGGGTGTGTGCATATGAAGGAAGTTCTGTGATAAGAGGCTGAAAGTCCCAAGTTGTGCAGGTTTGATGACACGCTGCGTGTGCTCTCCCACAGGGTGGTGAGTGAGCAGCTGCACTGTCTGCTGTGTGCACGTGTTTGTGTGCAGGGTCTGCCTGTCTGGCAGCCCTGGGGGAGGGGGGCAGGCAGGACTGAGGCTGCAGGGAAGGGTCAGCTTCTAGCAGTTCATTCTGGAGCCTTATATACAAACATGATGAAGATTTTGTCTTGTAAGAGGGCCTGAGGATTATCGCTGCCTCCTCTGCTTTCGGGGTGATGCGTATGTCTTGTCTGGGCCATTATCCCCATGGCTAAAGCCCCAACCCTAGGCAGTGTCTGTGAGTAGGATAGCTGCAAACAGGCAGGAGTAATGGAGTAATTTTTGCTTTGATCTTCCTAGTTTGGGGCATCCTTTCCAAGGCAGAAGTTTGGTTCATGTGCTGAGCACGTGCTTGGTTTTGCTTCATCTTCTGGGAAGTTGCCACTTAAAAAGATGTGGGTGTAAGGGCTGATGGGAAGACACCAAGTCGAGATCAAAGAGGGACCAAAGATAGTGTTTGGGAGAGATCAGGAAAACCAAAGGTGATATTTAGGAGGGATCAGCAAACATTTGTTTTAAAGCCATTCCATTGCAGATCAGATGTCTGCAGGCGAAAGTTTTTGGTTTGGGGGTTTTCAGTGTCCATGCCACCCCCACAACTCCTTCATTAGCTGCCAGGAAGTCTCCTTCCATCCATGTTTATTCCCTTGCCCATGTACACACACAGCCCCCATCTTGCTGCCTGATTGCACAATGTCCTTGTCAGCAGCCTCCTTGGTACAGGGGGAGGCAGGATGAGGGGGAGACCCTGTGGAAGAGCCGAGGAATGCTAGCACATTCCTCTACGCAAGTGGCTGGCTGCCCTTGGCTCCCGGCCATCCTGGCTTAGCACGAAGCACGGATGCATTTCCTGCCACTAGTAATGTCCCCAGTGCCCTTCCCCATCCAGTTATGCCCAGCACAAAAGTTCTTTCTCTGGGGACTCCTCCTTGTATCTAACACCTTTCATCTCTGGTTGGGGCCTGTCTCCACTGCTCCAGCCTGCTCCTGACCTCTCACCTCGAGAGCAGAAAGGGGGAAGAAATACTTTTGTTTATCTTCAGTCTCTTAAAATTCTTTAGATTCATCTCTTGCCTTGGCCAGTTGCCTCTGTGTGTGGCCACTGGGAAAGGGCAGCCCCTTCTCCAGCCACTGTGGGTGGGCAGCTCAGAAGAGCTGCTGGGTACAGAGATGGTCGTTCATCAACAGAGCTCCATCCTGTGTTACCACCTCATTTGTAGGCCTGGGTGAAATCCTCTCTGCTCTGTTGTGTGGCATCCAAGTTTATATGAAAGCCCCAGTTTTAGATGGGAGAGAATTTCCTTGGTGCGGGTGGTGCCAGGAATAACCTGGATGTCCATGTTTGTTTATTTGTGTGGTCAGCACTAATCAAAAGCAGACTGACTTTTTCTGTAGAAATGCTCTTGAGAGAGGAAGAAAGTTTGTTTAGGTTCAGCGCAGATGGGACCCAAAAAAAGAAGGGAAAAAAATAAAAAAACGCCCTCAACTTTGCATTCTAAAATTCTCATGACATTTGCTTCTCAACCAGCAAAACAAAGTGCATGCTCTGTTAATGGGCTGCCCTTGCTGCAGCTGGCAGGAAGAAAGCTGACAAAAGCATCGTGTTTTCTGGGCAGAGGCAAGTTGCTCCATGCCCCTGGTTCTTGCCTGGCTCTGCAGCATCAGGCACAGACCATCCACTCTTCCTTGGGGTTTGCTCACCAGCACGAAGAGGGAAAGAGATGGAGAGCTCATGGGTGCTCTGGTTGGCACGCAGGGCCCAGTTGGCTGCTTCTCTGTAGTGCTTCCAAGATTCGCCTGTTCCTCACCCAGGCCCTAATGGCCTGATGCTTGCCATTGCTGGTTTTTTTGGATGGAGCTGGGGCAACTCTGCTCGACATTAACCCACTGTGCAAAGCAGAGGGAGGCTCAGTGGAGGTTTGCTCTTCTCAGGAAGGGAGCAACCAGTTGAGTGCCATGCTGGTACTGTCCTTTCTCGCACCTAAAACCACAAGGGAACATGTTGATGGCACCATCGCCAGCGCTGGGGCCCAAGCTCTGTGGATGTGCTCCCTCCAGTCACTAGGAGGAGCTGAAGATCCTGCTTTGCAGCAGCCCCGGCGCTCCCATCGCCTCAGATGAGACTGCAAAGCCCTGAAGAACAGACTGCAGAGTCTGGCTGGGACTGGGTGGGAAGGGAAGAAGACAAAATGTCCCTTTCATCTCGGGCTCCCAATGGGAGAAAAGCCAGCCCTCTGGTGGGTTCCCAGAGGAGGGATTTGCAGATTCCTTTTGGCAGCAAGGCTGGCAGTGCAAATGGGAAGGCCCCGCAGGCTGGAGGAGAGTCAGTGGGTGAGATAAGGACAGGACGTGTTTTGGGGGGGAGACTTTGCAGAGATAAGGGCATTGAAGCTGTAGGGTCAGAAATGTGACCAGATCTTCTAGTGCTGCAGCTCTCCCAACTCTGATTGTTCCTTCTCTCAGTCGTGTCCCTGGGGTCTCTGCTGTCACCAGTCAACCAGCAAGTCCTTGGGGAATGTTGTCATTTTCAACACTGTTCTCTTGAATAATTCCCAGAAAACTTTGTTCTGAGCTAAAAAAGCAGTGCCCAGAGCAGCACAGCTGCCTGCTGGCTCTGGTCAGAGGGACTTCTTCACTTCTTACTTAATTGTCAGGGATCTGCAGTGGGTGGCCACTGGTGTGTGACCAGAGGAACCACTGAAAACAGGAGTGGAAAAGGAAAGATGGGTTGGTAATTGTCTTTACCATGATATGATGGAGCAGGAAATCTACCAGTGCAGTGATGGGGCGGGACCATCTTCCAGCTCCAGTCTTGTCTGGAGAAGAACACAGGTCCAGTCTGATGCTGCCCTGGCTACAAAATGTCCAAAGGTCATCATGTCTGAGAGGTGTCCTGGATTTGTTCGCTTAAGATAGGACAAAAGGGAAGGAGAAGACAAATTTGTACTGGAGAGGTGGGAACAGCCCTGCCTCATTTTTATATTAGGTTTGGCATAGTCTTTAAAAATTTAAACTCAAAAAGCAGCTCAGCCTTGACTTAAGCAGTGTGCTGTAAGTCAGTGCAGAGATGAGGCCACAGGGAGAGGAGGAACATGGAGCTCAGCTGGCCTGTTTGGCAAGTGGACATCTTACTCTAGAGCAGTGTATGCTCAGCTCCCTTGTAGCCACTTCTGTAGAGTTCCATTTGGGGACCCAGTGCAGCTGGGCTCTCCACAGCCTCTGCTCAACCTGTGTCTCCCTGTTTCTCTTGCCCCCCCAGGTGTCAGCAGTGCCAACTGTGCTGGCTATGAAGAACGGAGACGTTGTGGATAAGTTCGTGGGCATAAAGGACGAGGATCAGCTGGAGGCATTCCTCAAGAAACTCATTGGAGCCTGAAGTAAAAGGGTGGCTTGTACCTCTCCTCTGGACATGTCCATGTTGTGCATTCCTTGCCTGGGAGAGCTGAGGGCAGGTCAACTCCCTACCCTTTACATCCTGGGGGTTTCTTCTGGTCTGGTGATTTTAGGAGATGGACAGTGTTGTAACCCTTCCCTCCCTCTCCCCCTTCTCGTGAGCAGCAGTAGTTGTAAAGGGCGCTGAGGAGCAGGGCTGCTTATTCTCAAAATGGGGAATGTGGCTGGAATTAGGAGCCTGTGTTTATCAGCCAAGAGCTGACGTGCAGAGCTGCTGCTGCTGAGTTAAGAGGAGGAATGTTTTCCTCTTTGCCTCACGTCTGATAGCCCAGAGCAGAGGGCAGCTGCTCCCTACAAGATGATGGTACATACCTGCCCCGGGTGGGTTCATTTAAAGCTGAGAATGCCTCTGCCTTGCCTGTGAAACTTGTCTCTTTGTTTCTCTGCCCTTATGTTGCGGGGACAGGTACAACTCCTCCACAAATCCATGGGCTCCCGTCATAATTTTATAAGAGAAAATATAAAGAAGTATTTTATGGATCTCCTTTTGTATGCCTGCAATAGAGAACTTTATCAGTCACTGCTGTCTGGCTGGAGAATAAAACTTGAGTCTCAGAAATCACAGGGAAGTCCCTTGTCTGTCCAGACAGGTGAGAGGGAGTATCAGCAGCACAGTGGGCTGGTTTCTAATGATGGGTCGGGAGAGTGCAGGCTATGACTTGATCTCTACTAAAAGGTAATGTGCTGAAAAACAAAGTAGGGGATTACTTTCAGGGCTTTTGGTGGAGCTTCTAGGACCTCCTTTGTGTGCTGCTGGATCCAGGGCGCCAGAGGGAGGACTTGCCTCCCATGTGCAGAGGAGCAGCTGCTCATTGTGCACAAGGAACCTGAGCTGTGCTCGCTCCCCCTGTGCTTTTCTCACTCCTTTCCTGCCTGTGGAGCCTGAGAGCCTCCCTTTCCCTTTTGTGTATTATTAAGTCTGCTCATGCAGGTGAGCCCTGCCAGAAGGCAGTCTTGATCTTGACTTCAACTGCCCTGACCTTTGGACTACGGGTGCCAGTTTTGTGCTCCTATTGCATGAGCCTTCAGCCCTTCCCACGTCTTCCTCCTCTTCATATACACCTGTTTTCAGCCAGCCTGGCTTCTGAGTGCTCCCAGCCTTCTCTTGTGCTTGCAGGCAGAGTACAGCACCAGCACTGATGCTTACTGTAATGTTTAATTCCAGTTCGCTTATCTAAGCTGCATGAGAACATTGTAAGTGCTTAATAACCATGTACAAGCTGCTTTTTTTTTTCTCCACAGCTTCTGTTTCCTTCAGTCACTCTTAAATCTGCTCTGGCTCTGCTCCATTTCACCTCCCTGGCATAGGTTGCTACGAGCAGTGAGGAAATTTTTTTTCTGCACCTTTGCAGTGACGATTTATGACCTTTGCAGGAGCCAGGAGAGTGGTGATCCAAGTCCTGCTGCAATTGCAGTGCTGCTGGTGTCACTGCTCCCACCTCCTTCTGTCACCCCTGGGGCCTGGGCAGCAGCACGAGGTGGTGCTGGTCCCCTGAGATGGGTGCCTCCCCATCCAGGCTGGGCTGATCTCACCCCTGGCATGCTGCTAGAGGTGATGTCACTTGGGTGTAATTTGGTAAAGAACTGTTGGTCAGTTATGATCAATAAAACCTGGCATTTCATTTTATTTTGGAGATCACAGAAGCTATGCTGCTCCTGTCCTCCTCGTGTTTCAGGGTGGGCAATTTCCCCTGCAGTTTCGGTGTTCCTGCTTGGTAAACACTTCTAGTAAAGGCTCTCCATTTTCCTGCATGAGCAGGAAAAGTAGGGGAACAGCGTCACATACCCGACAATAGTTAACTTTTTTGCCTTACCATCCCACAGAACAGGAAAAAACACAGTGACTTTGCATTGTGTAATTACGGGGCAGTATAAATTAGTTATTTTATCACTTCCTTTTAAGGAAAAGCTAAAGTGTATTCAGCTATTAAAGTGCCAGCACACTTCAGAGTGCATTATATGAAAGCCACAACTGTTTCTTTGAGATAAATGCTGAAGATCCATGTACGTGGTGCCCTGTGGGAATCCATCAGAACAATGTAACAGGTGGACAGGAGGAAAAGAGTTTTGGGAACAGCTTGAGATTCCCCAAGCACTTTGCAAGGTTTTCACCACAGGACAGGACTCAGAGCACAAGGATGTTTTCTGTGCCGGGTTCTTAATTCAGCTCCCTGTTTGCCAACGGCTAGGGGAGGCTTCAGGGATTCCCACAGCAGTGTTAATAACAGAGGAGGTGCAAGTGGAAAGCACTACAAGCAGTGTATTTATGTAGTGGTTAAAAGCAATTTTCATGCCACCTGGATGTGATGTTGGTCTTTCCCGACTGAAGAGAGCTGAAGCAATGGGTAGTTCCTCAGCAGTAGCTGTTTTTCTTTGTCAGCTGGGAAAATGTTTCCTCTCAGCTCAGTCCAGCAAGGATGCAGTTTGTTTTCCCTTTTGGAGTTAAGCACATCCAATGCTACTCTGATCTGTTAAGCATTTGCTTTGTCCCGCCCAAGCCTGTCTATATTTTACAGTAGCTTTCTCAGCTCTTAATGTTCCTTGTTGCTATTTTAAGAGGACGTGGGGATCAGTGCCTTCCCAAGGGGAGCAAAGCTCAGCTAAACCCACTTCTCCTCCCCATGTATGTTTTGAACCTAACACCAAGATTCCCCCAAAGTCAGGCACAGTGCCCCTGTCCTCAGAGTCTTGTCCAAGGTGACTGATTCCAGGCAAGCATAGGTTTTCCATTTGTTTCTGTAGGCTTTACACTTGAATCAAGCTCTAACATAGCTGCTCCTTTCCCAAAGATGTTTGTGCCTGCCTGCTGAACTCCAAGTTAATCTTCAGCTGCTCCGGGTCATAGTGAAGATCTGCAAGGAAGGAGGGAGAGCTGTGCTATCTTCTCTGCTAGAGGGGCTATGCCAGGACCAGCTTCAAGAGTTGGTAGATGAAAAATTCAGGTTGCCTGGCTTGCAGCACAGAAAGGGTTGTGTATATGTGGCCCTTTGAAGGGGACAGTTTCGGCCAATTTGGTTCCAGTGAGGTCTGACCTCAACAGCCCAGCCAGTAAATCCTTTGCTTTATCAACAAATATGGTTCCTTCTATGCAAAGAACAAAACAAAGACCAGCTCGATGTCAACAGGACACTGACCAGCCCTAGGCAGGGCCTTTCACCAGCCCGACCAGGCTGTTTACCCTAACAGTTTGTTAATCACTTTGAGCTTTCCCTCACACACCTCGTTTTTCCCATCCAAGTAATTATAGGATTCAGACAGAATCAGCAATTAAATTCTCCAGCTCTGCAAGGCTGTTAGCAACGTTGAGCTCAGTGTTGTTCAGTGTTGCTGAATGGTGGCAAGTGCTTGCTGTGAGTTTCCTGCAAGTTAAAGAGTAACAGCTGCAATATCCTAGGCAATAAAAAGATAAGATAAAAACTACCATAGGCTTTACTTCCAGACTAAAACCAAACTAGATCACCTATTACACACTCTCGTCCTCCTTACCTGCCCCTGCAACACACCCAAGCTCAAGTTGTGGTTTAACCCCAGCTGACAACTAAGCACCATGCAACCGCTTGCTCACCCCTCTCCTGGTGGGATGGGGAGAAAAATCAGGATTAAAAAAAGGTAAAACCTGTGGGTTGAGATAAGAACAGGGAAATAAAAGAATAATATAGCAATACTTGCTCATGAAAAGGGAAACAACAAAAAGAGAAAGAAAGCCCCAGAGAAACAAGTGATGCACAACCCAGTTGCTCATCACACATTGACCGATGCCCAGCCCATCCCTGAGCAGTGATTGACCCCTTCCAGGTAACTCCCCAGTTTATATATTGGGCATGGTGTTCTATGACATGGAATATCTCCTTGGCCATTTTGGATCAGCTGTCCTGGCCACACTCCTTCCCTGTGTCTTTTGCAGCTCTTCACTGTCAGAGTACAGGAAACTGAAAAGTCATTGATTTAAAGTAAGTACTACTTAGCAACAACTACAACGTTGGCGTGTTATCAACATTATTCTCATACCAAATCCAACACACAGCACTGTACTGGCTACTAGGAAGAAAATTAACCCAGTTACAGTCAAAACCAAGGCCAAAGTCCATCACCACACATGGGTGGTGTCCTGCCACCCTTGTCAAGGACATGGGGTGCACTTGTGAGCTTTGTGGTTTCTCTGCCTCTGCAGCTCTGTAATTTCAGCAACACTTTTCCTCTTAAAACCTTTTTCAGGCAAAACCCAAAGATTGCAACTCTCAGGAGAGTGGTAGCCAGAGGCTGGATGTGGTGTCAGAGGGGGCTGCTGTGCTGAGCTGTGCCTGGTTGCTTTTTTCCTCAATTCTACCACCCAGGGAAGGATAGAGGTAGGAACAGCAGGGGAAACCCCTAATTTCTTACACCCAGAGGAGCCAAATGGGTGGAATATGGAGGCCTCCAGGGAGAGCTTAAAAATGTGTCAGCCCACAGCCCAGTGGGAACAGAGGGAGGAGAAACCCTGTGGCTGCCTTCCTGGTGGCAAGGGGTCCCTGATGGGTAGTGAAGGGAACTGATCCTATAAGGAGAGGCTAGAGTGGGACACTGAAGCTGCTCATGTTGTGTGAGTGAAGGACAGCTGGCAGCTGCAGGCAACAGGGCAGCACCCAACTTCCCATCTGCTTGCATTGACTTCCTAGGCCCTCATAATCCAAATAGTCACAATAAAAACGCACTAAAATTGACGGGTTTTCTCCATGGTCTGCAGCTTCTGTGAAGTAAGGTCCCTGTACATATATATACATCTTTATCCACTCACGTACTCTTGTTGCCTGCTGTGGAGAGTGCCAGGAGCTTCTGGGTCTCACAGATGTCCCCAGCAGCTGTAGCTGCTGACAGAAGAGGACAGGAGCCAGCCTGCTGGCTCTCCCACCCAAGGGAAGGCTGAGCTCCCAGTACCCTTCTCAGCTACTACAGACTCCTCATCCCTCTGCTGCTAAAGGCACCCCAGCACCATCTCTCCTCTCGGAGTGGACAAGTGGTTGAGCAATTTCCTGAAAAACAGGAAATTTTTCAGTGAGAGCCCTCAGAAACACTGACTTTAAGTCATCCAGAGGGTACAAAATGCACCAGAGATTTCGGTGTTTTCCAGAGATGGTGACCTCCGGTCACCGCTTGGCTCCCGCTCCTCCATGCCGGTCTCACACAGGTCTCACACAGCTGGCAGCGAGAGGGTGTTTTTCCTAGCTGGCTCTGCACTCGTAGCTACATGGCCTCAGGAAGGAGAGGATCTGCATCCCCCGAGGTTGCTTTATGGCTCCATCATGAGGCAATAACACTTCCCCGCAGGGCCCGTAGCCGCGGGCGCAGGGACTGCAAGGCTCTTTTACTTGCAGGTGGCTTTACCTGCAGGGCTGTGCCACAGGCAGCAGCAGGTGACAAACCCAGCCCTGGGTCTGGCCAGGGCAGTGGCAGAGATGGAGATGGAGTGCTGTACTGCATGCAAGCTCCAGCACGCCCACGTATTTATATAACATCATTTTGCTTTAATCTGGCTTTTTTAAGTAAACTGTCAAAGCCCTTTCTGTTCACTTGTTCACTAAGAACCT